TCCCTATATTTTGCAAACCAGTCATATGCTTAACTCAAAAATTTTATGTGATTATTGTCTCATCATGACTAATCATTTGGCATAAAATTTGGTTAAAAAATCGAGGTCCAGAAAAGGGGCGATTTTTGGTCTGGCTCTTTCTCCAGCATATCAGGTCTCTAAGAATTGAGGTTTAATTGTTCAAAAAATGACTTTTTCGACGATATTTGACATATTTTTGTAAAGAAGGTATAACGATATCTTGAAATTTCGCGCGCGCGCAATCAGAAATTATGAATGTATTGATTATTCTCTATAAAATGCATTTTTTAATTTTAATATTTTATTTTTTTAGTCATATTATGAAAGATATTTAAGCTAGGAGAAGTATGAAACATTTAAAAAAAATTTTTTTCAACACTTTCAAAATTTTCTTCGAGATACGTTAAAATTAAAGACACCCTGTGTGTGTTTATACTTATACTATTATGTACATCAGAGTTGGATAATTTAATATTTTTTAAAATTAAGTTAAAGTTAATATATGTGGTCTTAAAAATTTAACTTACAATTAGTTAAGATACAATTAAGTTAATTCATAAAATTAATTGAATTACAAGTTAAATTAATAAAAGAAAGTAATTGAAATTAAAGTTAAAAGTTAAATTTTTAAAACTTAAATGTAAGATAATGAGAGTCACGAACGGTTCTTGGTGCCCAAAATTTTATGTATTAGAACATCAAGTTATATGTAAAATATACAGTATACGAACGTTTCGATTCATTTAGAGCCATCTTCAGCACAATAATATCATAACATGCGAGAGCGGTGAATGATCCTCGTTCCCGATAGGATGAGTCACTCGACTACCTGTTCCGAGAATCCTTAATATATCTAATTGTAAGAAAGAAACAATCTTATATTGATTGCTTTTTCTAAAAGTATATAAATTTATATATAATATTCTAATTATTATTCAAGGAATTATTTTAAAACCTTTGACTCACCCAAGTCAGAACGAGAATCCTCATGAGACTTTGGAGATGAAAGGATGCAAGCAAACAAGTCGCATGGTCGTTTACAATTTAAAACTTATATACGAAATGCGTGGCTGCATGATCGCCAACAATTTAAAACTGTACAAATGCATAGTGTCAGTAGCGCTGACAAGTATCTATAACAAGTTTAATATATATATAACGTCGGAAGGTTGAACCCCGTAATGAAAACAGTACAATAAATAAATAAATTAGAAATTGATGTAAAGTTGAGACAATAAACAGTGACGAAAAGACAGTTTAATGTTTAAATTATTTATACATATATTAAATAAAATTGAAGTCCATTAAATTAAAAAGTTAAAAGTTTTTTATTTCATAATTTCAAGGTTGTTAAATAAAGTGAATAGATATTTGTTATATACTTATTTCCGTCGGGCTACAGAAAAAAAACCGATTTCGAGGGACTTCTTCCAACATAATTTAATGCCTAGAAGATCCGCGATTCCGCGGCCAGATTATATTTATTATATTAACAATTTGTTTTGATGTACGTTCTCAAATTTTAGATTGAAGACGTAGATATGTATTTTTTTGGAGGTTTTTATAAGAAGTACTAAAAGTGTAACTTTAAGAAAGTTAAATTAAAAGCTAATAGTTATAACCGAAAAAATGTAATTAAATTAAGTTAAAAGTTAAGAACCTAAAATGTAACTAAGTTAAGTTAAAATTATTTAACTTTTTAACTACTTAACCTTAATGTATATGTATATACATAAATATACTGCGCAAAAAAATTATGGCATAGAAAAATTTTGAACAAAAATTGGTCAACTTTGGTTAACGGTAACTCCGCGAAAAATCATCGTAAAATGATGAACTTTTTTTCAAATAAAAGCTTGAAATCTCTACTTTAAGGAACTGTGAGTCGATTTTAAATTTAATGCACCCCTGTTGCTGTAAACTCTTAAATCTGAGAACATGTTTGCCATACTGAAAATTGCAAAGCTTGAACAAATGCACGGACTTGCTAAAATTTTTCTCGGGGATGCGGTTTCCGGCGTCATAAAGTTGGAATCTTTTTCTTTAATTTGAAAAAAAAAACAAGTCGCTACGATTTTTTTTCAAAGTTACAGCATTTTGAAGTAATCCTTGTATTTTTCTCATGTATGATCAACATTACCCGATGTGCACTATAGGTAGGTTGACGATCGGATTTTGCACACCGTGTGTGTATGTGTGTATGTTTGCACATATCCGCACGTACACAATGTGCAAAATCCGATC